CCCGTTCCTAGGAACGGGAACGGGGTAGCGTTCCCCGTTCCTAGGAACGGAACGCAAAGTTGACACCCCTAGTCCTGATACAAGATGTCGGATAGTTTTTCCAACGACTAAGACAGCCCTAGTGACAGTTAGTTTACTAGTGTCGATCAAAATTGATGTGTCTTTAGGAATGTGACCCCAGAATACAGCTCTCACTAATGGTTATATTAATAGCAAACAAATATTAGACAAGGTCGAAAATGAAGCTTGCACGTAATTGTGTTACATTTTCGCGTTCTCATTAACCCTTTGAGGACCAGTGGGTCATGTTTATCCCACCTATTTTTCAGTAGAGAAATAAGTGTCTAGTTTATAGTAAACTATTAAATAGGTAAGGTCATAGGTCATAACCAATGCATTTGTCATCTCATACTTTTCTTTTCTTTCTTTCTTTCCTTCTCTCATATAAATTCTTTTCAAATATCCTTTGTTCTTGCTGCTCTCTGCTCCGGCCGTGAACGAATAAGTCGTGGAAGATAGCCTCCTTCTGAAAAGAAGTCTAAACTAGCGTCATCAAAAACTGTCCTTAATTTTGACAATGAAATGCATTTATCTGTGAAAGAAACAAGAAAAAGAGTATGTACTTATTTTGAGGACCAAAGAAGCAGAAGTTCCATCCAACATGGAGCGCTTTACTTGCAAATTGCCATGATTTGTTAAAAAGATGAAAAAAATTGTTTTTTTGATTATCATAAGATTTTTATGTAGTCCTTTGAGTTAAAACAAAATAAAAAGGTTGAAAACTGTTTTTTCGATTAAAAAAATTCGATTCTCAAAGATTAAAGCGTACTCTATTCGGGAGACATCAAATATTGTTTCAAATGCAAGTTTTTTGTAATCACCTCATCCGTCCAGAGTAAAAAGCTACGCGCTTCTAATGTGTAGCCGATCATTGTTAGCTTTTGGTGCCTTTGTATTAGTGGCTAAATTTTGGACCAATTATTAATCGAACAATATTTTTAGTTTTGAGTGTGGTTGTAGGTGTATCCGTGAGCCTGGGCGCTCATCGTATCGAGATTCACACTCCACACTCACACCCACCCTCAGACACGATTCATCATTAACATGTACTGCTTTAGTATATAAGTAACAAAATGCAACGAAGTGGCAAAGACATACTCAAAGATCTATGCAGTTATAATTTGCCGGCAGCTAACCCGATGGATCGTTTACCGCATGATTGTTATATGATCTTGGTAGGTCGTTTAAGATCCCAACACTATATAGACATGTTGATGAAAGTGAAGCAATTACAAGGAACAAAGTCGACGAAACAAGATGAGGCTCATCAAGCTGAATATGCAGTATTGAACTCTGAGCATACTGAGTCAATGCTGGAGCTTATAACGTTAGAAAGAAAGACTGAACAACTAGAAATTCAACGTCAATGCTATTTCGTGTTTGAAGATAATTTTAATTCTTCTCTGGTTCAGATGCTTGAAGCGAAGTCGTCATTGGAGAAACTCACAAAAATTTGTCGTGCATATGAAAGCCGTGAGGGAGTTGATATAGATAAAGTGATGACTGAACATGAAAATCGTGTGAGACTGTCACATTCATACTTTTGCAAGAAAAATGTACCAACTGATGAAGCCAAAGCTTTGGCACTCGCCATTTCCTTCTATACAGGTACGAAAAGTGAAGCATGTAATCGTGGCGCCAGTCTTATTGCTCGGAAAAGTAATGGAGAACTCCTTGACGTAGATGTAGAAAACGAAATGAATGAGGCAGCTATCATCCTTTATTATTTAGTGAAGGGTCTTTCATATATTCCATTTTACTGGGGATATGTTACACGTGCTTGTCAGCTTACACGCGAGGAACTGCAAATCTACGCACCCGGCTGTTTGATCACTTGGATTCAGTTTAGCAGTTCAAAAAAAGGAAAAAAAGTGGCTGATTCAGACGCTTTCAAATATCGAAATACAATTTTTAAAATCTTCTCCTTAACTGGTCGTCCAATCAAAGATTTTTCGAATTACCCGGAAGAAGATGAAGTTTTATTTCTACCTCATTCGACCTTTCTTGTTTGTGGTCACGACCTATATAAAGAAGATGATGGACGATACCATGTAATTTACATGCGACAAGTAGAACTGGGTCTATGCCAGTGGTCGGTATTATGGGTTGATGACAGAATATTTGACGAAAACTGGGAGAATAAGCAACACATGGAATACGCAGCAGTGAAAGCACTTGATGTGAATGTGCATTTTATACCGAAATCGTCCACTGATAGCGCTTTGGCCTTTCTCCGATCTGAATTCGGAAAGCGTTTAAAAAATCAGGATACATTTCGCATTGTTACAGATATGAATCGTGAAAATGAAAAACCCTCGCATAATGCAGGTACACGATTAATAAAAGCAGTACGAAAGATGGGATTCAGAAATAGATGTCTTATCTTCACTAGTGACAAAAAAACGGCAGAACGAATTGTTCAATTGGAATTAAGCTTAGAGGAACAAGAATTGGTTTCAGTGTCTACTGAAACAAAGGATCTACGGAATTTTGTAAATTTTGACTTAACATCCACAAATGCACAGCAGTCTAACGCCGGAAATGCGAAAAAAAGCAACACATTACAAACTTCAACGTATTCCAGTAAGTTGAATAACTCTCTAAACTTCAGGAAGTTTATGACATTCAACAACAAACACTATAAGACTCTGGTCACTTTCATGAAGGGTTTGGGTGTGGGTGTGGATGTGAATATGAGTGTAAAGAATAGCGATATCCACACCTACACCCACACCCACATCCCACAAATTGACAATTCAAACCCTTTCCTTCAAAGAAGCAGTGAAATACTTTCTAAAAAGCTTCAGAGTTAAAAAGTGGCCAGGCTTCTAAACATAAATATCATATCAATAACTTCCTAAAACTAGTTATCAGCTAAATAGGAAAGCACTAATAATCAACTATGGATCAGAACATTGTAAGTCGTCATAACAATGGCGAAATTATATTCATGAAAATGCTTTTTACTACCTTGCATCACAAGAGCCAATGATTGTGTCACGTCTGCTTCCTCAACAGTTTAGAAATGCCTAAAACATCGTTTAAATACTCACATACGCGCCACAAAGACACGTTTAAACATTGCTAAAGTGTCATAAAAAACACATTTAGGCATGAAAATAATCTTATATGAAACAATTAGCCTTCGTTCAAAGGCAAGTTTTTCGTTTTTGAACCGAAAAATAGTTGTTTTAAAGGATCAGTTTGCTTGAAAGTCAAATAACCACATTTAAAAAACGAAAAACACATCATTTAAACTGTGACGTATCACTTCTGCAACGCAAAGTGTGCCATTAAAACGTATTGAAATTGCCACCTATATATTTCCTTCGTTTAAACGGAGTCTTTATCGATTATGGACTGTTTAGGTTTTTTTCTATCAGTTTATTACTACGCAGTCTTCAGGTGCGCTGTCTAATGGATAAAGTTAATCAATTTAACGATCTATAATCACTATATTGATTTCAGTAGCCAAGATGGTGATGTCTTATATCAGAGATTAGTCAAAGAAACCTATCAGTAAAGGTCTTGGAACAAATGAATTGTGCATGGGTAAGCATAGCTGCTAGTTGAAATACTTGAAGAAACGAAATAGAGAAAAACTCGATCTGGCAAGGTTTGATCCTCAAAAAGCACCATTTTTGGACTGCCCTAAGTGTAATGTCGATGAGTATTGTATAGGATTCCTCAGCTATTATAACCAGTCAATACCCAGGCAGACAAACGTTAAAATATAATGCGTTTAAACACGTTTAGATTCCGTAATAACAGCGTTTAAACGAAGTAGTATCGTTTAAACGGCATTATTATGCCATTTTCAAACGCGTTAAAACACGTAACCCATCTGCAGCGTGATAAAACCAGTCATTTTTTCAAAATTTACGCGTTTTTCTGTTGGTGTCGCTATTCTTTTTACGAGTTTAAACGCGTTCACAAGCTTAAATATATTTTGATACGATTCGATGTTAAATACAACTTGACTTCCTTTTTTTTCTTTGAAACTAGGTTACTACTTGCATCTTCTGTACACTATAATTCACTTACTAAACAAGACTAAGCTTTTTTATGTTAGTATGCTTTCTCATAAAAGTTGAAACATAAATAGGCAAATTTCAAGATAGGATGTTTCGTATCTATGCAGTATGCGACTAGGTATTGATATTTGAACTGATGTCCGACTTTATGAGAACCTATTCATAAACTTTAACATGGAAAAAATATTTAAAACATACTTTTATAAGTTTTATTTTCCTCATATATGATAGATTCCATTTCATAGTCTTCATTGATTTTTATTAAATCTAATTCATGGTATAGTGTTTTTTCAAATTTATGTTCGAGTCTTATTTGCTCATAAAGTAGATTCATTAACAGTTTGTTGTATTGTCGTTCTGAAAATCGCATTTAACATGCAAGATTATAAGTCAAAAACATAAATTTAAATAAACCTAATTTGATATAATAAAAAGAATAACATATGAATAGAATAATCCAATGTTTCATTCATAATATAAAATAGATGAGAGTTAAAAAGTTGAAAATAATATTTAAGTGGATTCTAAAAGATTAGGAAATATTTGAAATCCACAAATGGTATTCGTATTTTCGTTGATCCGATATGCAACTTTTTGTTTAATCAAGTCAAAACTTATGGAAATAGTCTCTCGTGGTACAGTAACAGTAGCATCAATAGAAAAGTCATTGATGTATTGTATTCCATCAACCGAAAAAGTATCACAACCATGAATTATTATTTTATCAATAATAAATAACACTTGATCGTTTCTTGTCAATCGAATTATTCCGACGATTACACCGACATAAAGCACGCCTGAATGATCGGAATACATCACAGCAGAATCATCCACTTAACAGGTACCTGAACGATGTACCCTGAATGGTATTCCATTATGGAAATACAAGCAATAATATACGTATTGTTATTCACCATAAGTAGCATTAAGATACGAAAGTATATGAGGAAATAGACCAGGTGTTGCCATATCAAGACGACATTTATTATTCTGAGTTTTGAATGTTGGAACAGCACACTTCTTCGAAGCGAGGAATTGCTGTATCATTAATGCAATTTTCGGATGAAATGTTGATTGCTGAAGGATAGTTGTCGAATAAGCAACAAGCTCAAGATTATTTATTAATTCTGTCAAGATCATCGAAGGCACATGTATAGATTTCACGATGCTTCCTAATTAATGCAAACAATCCTTCAGATACTTTTAAGAGTCCTGTACAAGTTTATAGATAGTCTTTATAATATTTTCTTCAAGTAAATATTCAGTTAACACTTAATCTCTTAGAAAATGCAAAATTTGATTAATAGTGTTAGTTAGAAAGACGTTTACTTATTTATATAGAGCTTGACAACCCATCTAACAGTTGTAACTTAGTATTTTTTAAGACGAATAATGTACTTCGTACTGCCCATCTCTTAAATCTTTTCAAATATTTTAGTAAATGTATAAGTGGATATAAACTAGAGTACTTGTCAATATTTTCTTAGAAAAATCAGTAGTTTTCAAATTATCCCAACGTATTGAAAACACAGAATATGTGTTATTCATGAACACATAAAATTCTCTGCACGCAGTAAACTGTTAGTTGAACAAGAAAAAATTTTCTCCTGATGAGTTTTATAATGCATATTTACCTACGGTACTTTCAAAATTGAATGTGCTATTAATTAAATAGTGGACCGAATTAAAAAACACTTTGCGCAAAATGTGCAAGCGAATGAACTATAGAAACACAGTTGGATTCCTTTGAAAATCAAAAAGAAAAGCAATTAAAACGAAGAAGTAATAAAAAATAATGTCACAAACTCCGTATAATGATGGAAATAATTTAAGGAATCTCTCTAAAAGAAATTTAATTTGTTCTGATCTTTCATTTGTTCTTGTTTGGGTTTCGGCGAATATTGCGGCATATGCTAGAAGCCGAAAGTGCTGATAGTATTGTTTTTTCATAAATTTTTCGAACAACCTGCAAAGACAAACTTTATCACATACAGCTGCAATAGTGAAAGCATAAAAATGTTTATAGGCACTTTTTTGATTTCGATCAGCTGATGGAAAAAGTACATCGAAATCAACATTTTCTAGAAGTTTAAGTTCATTCACAATATCTTGTAATATTATTGCATATTCATTTTTCTTAGGTTTTTCACTGCCAGTAGAAATTGAACATATCAAGAGATTGTTTATTTCATAACGTTTATTTCGAAGTAGTTAATTGATACAGACGCATGTTACCCATAAGGAGCAAGAGATTCGCTTGATCAGAACACCATCATTATGAAGAGTAAGAGTAATTATATTTCGATTTGGATTTTTTTGTTTTTCTGACATGATAATTTCTTGATGACGTCGAGTATTAGATATATCACTACATTCATTAGATCGATAATTGGGAGACATAAGCTTTTCTCGCTCAAGAATGGGGATAATTTGTGATGCTAATGGAAAAGTGAAGACAGATGTTGATTTTCGAATATAAGATGAAGCAGATTGGCAGTTTTTATTTGAGCATTTAGAAACATTTGATCCTTTGGAAAAACATGATGGACAGATAAATGCATGGTCACCATGAAACAATATTGAGTTATATTTCTTCACATTTGACACTACACTACGAAAATCATTAGGCATGTTAGGTGTATTAAACATTTTCAAAATACGACTAATATCATCAATGGCTGCTTTGGATAATGAATGTCTTCTCCAAAGAAAAACCAGCATAACCGAGACTTCAGTGACGTCGGGAGGTTAGTCATTAATTTTCTAGTACTTAGATGAATGGGACCAAAAATTAGTCAGTTTTTCTTTATCGAAAAATCCTTCGGATATGTGCTGATTATTATCCTCAGATATATCAGAATCATTATCAGATCGATAAAACTCATCAGATTTAAGTTTACTTAAATCTTCATCATAGCACATATTCAACGTATTACTGTCTAGCAAGTATCCATAATCACCGACATACGTATATTGATTGGATTCTTGACTAATCCATTGATTTTCATTTGCATTAAAATCATTATTATGTACCGTTGATTCATTCTCAACAGATGAGTTGTTTTGGTGTCGAGTAATAGGAGCATTATCAACTCTATTAAGTTAGAATAATACATATATATATTATAGGTTAATGCAGTCTTAGGAATTAACGTACTCTGAATCACTACAATCATCTAGTGCCATAGCTTCGTTTAAATCACTGTTTATTTTCTCTCGAACTCGACATCGATAACGACTAAATCGAGACTTTTGCTCCATAACCATCTCGGTATCTTCATCATCCTCGCTGGTCATTTTATGAAGACTAGGTATTTGACTGTTCAATCTAATCTTTTTCTGAACTTTAGTTTTTCCTAAAAGAATACTAAAGAAACGCTATCATATCATTTCATATGTTCAATATCTTTTATATATTGGGTTGGTAAGAAATTTTTGTCGTTTTTTTTTTTCGTAAAGAAGATTATGCTGAGCGTTTGGTGGGGAGTAAGAGGGATTATTCATTGGAAACTTCTTCCAACTAATTGCACTATCACTGCTGATCTCTATTGCCAGCAATTAGACCGAATTGCGGCAAAACTTCAGGAGCACAGGATAGAATTTATTTTTTACATGACAATGCCAGACCCCATATTGCAAAATCTACGCGTGAAGAATTATTGGAGCTCGGATGGGTTACGGTTCTACATCCATCTTATTCTCCAGACTTGGCTCCTACGGACTACCATTTGTTCCGTTCTCTCTCTAACCATTTGAAGGAGAAAAATCCGAGGATGAAAACGACCTGGAAATGAACCTCCTCAACTTCTTTGGCCAAAAGTCGCAGGACTTCTACGAACGCGGGATCCTTTCTCTACCAGAGCGTTGGCGACAAGTCATAGATAGTAATGGAGCATACATTGTTGAAAGCTAGTTGTATTCTTGATATTAAAAAATAAAAAGAAAATTTTCAAAAAAAAACGACAAAAATTTCTTACCAACCCAATAAAATATATAGTAATGTTTGCTTAATACATCTTGGTCATATGTTACATGCCGATAAAGACAAAGATAAAACATACAAGATAGAAAAAAGAGAAATACACTATATCGTATTAGGAAGTACAAAAAAACAACATAGAAATAACACCCAGTATGAATGTTTCTTCCTTAAAAAACAATAGTATGCATAGGAATCTATTAAATACATCTTTAGGTAAAAAAATAAAGGCATAATAAAATACAAATAGCTTTTATTAAATTATTACTACAATTTCCATGTTCACTTTTGTCTTCATATTGAAATTGACTAATATTAATCATCTTGTTCTTCATCGTCGGTAATCGAATAATTGTTGCCTTTTTCCAACAGTAACTCTAAGTTATGTTCGACTTCTTCACAATCGCTCAAACCATCGTCATAATCAATTTCATTCGTTGCTTGACTTTCCGCAAGGACATTGTTTTCATCGACTTTTGAGTTGAATTGAGCTAATCTTAAGTTCGCTGCAATATCGCTTCGGACTTTCTTCACACTTAGACCACATTTTGGTAAACATAGACGAGCAAAACCTAAAGAGATAAAACATAAAACAATCATTTCATTTTTTTCTTCAAAGTCAGCAAAAGAAGCTTATTCAAACAGTTCTTTAGTATCTAACAAAAATAAAATATGGTAGCTTACTATAAATATTTTCTATTGTCGATTTTGGTACATTCTTAATTGATCCTACTTCAAGTCGAGCTTCAGCAGTAGGACGAATTGCTCGCCATACATTCATAGCAATTTTATCAGATTTAAAAGCATCTTGTTGAACACGTTGAATCAAATAAGCATTCAAACCAAGTTCTGCGCCAATTTGCTCTATCGTTCGTCCATCACATTTGTATTCGTCACTATGGGTCATCATAAATGCTTTCATTTCATTCCAAAATGCAGGACCCGGCTTCACTGAAAAATAAGTGAATGAACACATACCAAAATAGCTAGAAAAAAAAAGAAAAAAATTGAACCGTCGCACTTGCATATTTTTCATTGACTCTAGAAGACTATTTTGAAACCACGCTACGTAAGATAGGTGATTAGTTTTTTATTCAAGATTAATAGTTAATATAGCAAAAGTCACTTAAAACTTGATGCTCTCCAAATGTCAAGTGTATGACTTTTAAGAACTATATCTACAGAGCTTCATAAATTAATTACGACGTACGATAGAAATTCAAAATGAGAAATTCAGTTAATTGTCAGTTTTGGGATATCTTCTAATTCTGATCAATTCTGTTTTTGAATATTAAAATAACTTATGCATATGAGTTTGAGCCATTTTTTTTCTTCTCTCTGCTCATCTTCTTCAACGCTGCTTTCAAGATATCGACTTGCCTCGATAGTTCACGATTTTTCTTCTCTGATTCTCGATATTCATGTGAATTACGAATATCTGCTGAACGCATGAACACAACCGAGCTTGACGATGGTTGAGTTACATTAGTTTGACCATTTGTGGCAGATAGATTGGTCATAGAACGAGTCGTATCACCACTAAAGTATAAAAATCTATATTAATAAAAGAAAAACAAAAAAAATATATTAAATAATTATATCTATGAACATCTTGACTTGAATTATGGTTTTTACGATTTTCATTCGTAGTTCTGTTTTGACATTATTATACTAGAAAAAAGCACATGCATTATTAAATAGAATCTATATCATTTAATTTTGCCAGACTTACTGTTTTGATAATTGAAGTGATTTCTTTTCAGCAACATTCGTATTCAATGACAATATACTACTGCAAAAATAAGACATAAATAAGACTGTTCGTTAAGTTACAGTAAAAATAAGTATTCATAATGATACGCAAGAAAAAATATAATAATATTTTTCATGTAATAGTACACTGCATTTTTTTTTACAGATCTCTTAAACTTTGATGGTATACTATTAATCGTCTCAATCGCTTTAATTTCTCTCATAGGAACTCAATTAAGAGTCTCGTTTTTCGGTTGTAATCGCGCGATTTATTTATAGAAGTTCTGATCTCATTGTCGAATCAAATAAATTTTTTCAGGATCAGTCGTGAATATTTGAATGAGTTAACTCTTGCATAAAAGCAATAGAGTTTGCTCTAGATTATTTAGAGCAAATAGTTTAAATTACCTTTGATTTGATTCAGAAAGATTTGTCGGATGTCGTGTTAAACAGGCAGATGCTTGAGTTCTACTTCTATACGCAATTCAAAAAGGTACTTTATGCATTATTATTCAGTTTCAAAAACTCCCAGCTCACGTTAAAATTGGTTCATTGCTTTTGTCGATTAATGGTTAGGTAAAGATGTGTCGTTGGGTTGTTGATAGATGTTTATCTTTTTCATTTATTCGTAATGGTGAAGTTTTAGAACGACATTCATTAACAACAGTAATTGGTGTGGCAAGACGAGTTGAATCGTTTGAATTCATTTTCAATGCTGAATTATTTGGACACTTATGAGATTCATTCGAAGAAGGCGATTCACGAGATTGTAACAATGTGCTGTAATTTAATATTTCTTTTTCAGGTACAATGATAGATGAAGTTTCATGAATTTGATTTGACTTATCGTCGTCGTCCATATCAGACGCATCTATTAAACAAAAAAGCAATGAAAATTTAATAAAGTACATGTTTACAATTATTCTAAAATCTGAAATTGGTTTTTTTTTATCGATGCATATTAGCACCCAGTTTTTGTTGATTAAGATAAAATGTTAAGAAACGTTTATTTATTTACAAATAGAAAGTTTATACTAATCAACCTCTTAAAATTTATTCTATAAAATATGAATTAGATTCTTTCTTCTAAATATCTTCATCGCGGGTGTTATTTTTATTTTTTTAATATGTTGCAAATACTGTTCAATAGCTTCAAAAGACCTAAATTTAGCTGAAATAATCTCGTGTCTTATATTTGATTAAAAAGAATTTGTTGATTTCTGATACATTCAAGAACATGATTGGTTCAGACATTCGAAAATGAACCGAACTCAAGGCTTTTGTTTTAAGATGGAGATTTAAGAAAAGTTAAATTTATCGTTAACTAATTAAATCGTTTTAAAGTTAAAAAATTTATCATATAAGACAAGTATTAATGGGTTATTTTTATCAAAACTACAAATGAACACGAAAGTTGTATTGCATGATACGCAATTAATATTAAAATTAACCTGAAACATGTTTTGAAAAACTATGCAAATTACTAATATGTTGTTTTTCTTTATCCATATTTGCTGAAGTATTATCCAAAAAATCATCTTCATTAATTTTCTCGGTTAAACCCGTGTTTTGCACCAAATTCTTCTTTTTTTTTGAATATTGAATTCCATTAATTTGCTTGCGATTCGTACGTTTTCGTTTTGGCATTTTAATATTTTAGAAATTACAAAAGTGACGCAGATAAGTAACACAATATATATGTATAATTGTTGAATCAAATCTAGAACACATAAATATTGTTAAGAAAACGAAGAAGTTTTGAGTTTAAATTATGAAATAGAAAGAATGCGTCTATTCTCATAGAAAACGAACTGTATAATTCATCTCAAGAAAAGCAAATAAGCGTAATCTTTAATCTTATTGTTAAATGACCTTTTATATATTGATCGTTATTAGAAAGAAATCTTTTCTTTTAAAATGTACTCCTGTTTCTGTACGTAAACAATAACTAATAAACAAGTTAGACGTTAAAGTTAAGGACATTTCTTTATATCCTTTATGGCTGGTCATCCTATGACAATATCTTCTTTAATTTTTTTGTATTAGTTAATATTAACAACCAATCATTTGATGTTCACCATTTTTCTCGCGAAACGCTGCCTAGAGTATTACTAGGAAACATGTAAAATAATATTTTTTTCAGACAAAACAGGAGACATTATCAAACAGATAAGTAGGAAAGGCATTTAAGAAAACGTGTTCAAACGCGTTTATTTGCCTGACATCTGAAGAGAGTCCACCACGCACTTCTACAATTCGTATACCCTTTAGACACTTTCACTATATTTTAAAATTCTATTCTAAATATTTTCATAAGCATCTTTACATCAATTTGAGTAGATAACAAGAAGGTAGAGAAAAAATCTATCTTGCAACTAGTATCTACCACATGAACATATTCTATTCTTTTTTTTCTCATTATTTGTCCAATAGATTTCTTTTATTCAAATTCTTTCTTTCTTGTGTTTATTCATTTTTTCATAGTTTTCTTTTATTCAGTAACTCATATTTCTTTCATTCGAGTAGCTTTATGATATTATTTCTGCTAGATGATCTATTACATGCATTATGCTGCAGAAATGTCCTCATTCACATCAATTTTCTTTTTATCCAGCGAAGATAGAATAAGCAAAGCCATAGGAGAAAGAATCTTGCGTAAAGAAAAAGAAATAAGTTCAGTACATTAGTCAACCTTGTGTTAAATGATTTAGTCATACGAACAGTTGACTTAGCATCAACAACTATATCAAGTTTTCCTTTTTTTTTGTTCACTCTCTTTCATAACAATCAGTTTTTTTATAGTTTTTATTGCGGTCATAGATTTGTAAATTGACAATAGTAGAATAAGAGAATAGTTGATGACTTCAAAGCATATCTTACATTAGAAGAGAATATTGTTAGACGATAAAAAAAAGAATGTTACAGAACTTGCGTATATTTCAGTTATTTATCCACATATAATTAATTCCAATTAAAATAAAGCAAGTAAATTTTATAAGGTAGAGAGACAACTCAACACGCCGTGATCACTTAAGAGTTAGTTGAGACTACATTTTTTTCTAACTATTTTAAGTGTATTCTTAATGTATACAGGACGACGTATCGATTTTATGTATGGATAGAGTCAAAATAATTGGAAAATACTTATTTTGACTCTATCCATACATAAAATCGATACGTCGTCCTGTATACATTAAGGATACACTTAAAATAGTTAGAAAAAATGTAGTCTCAACTAACTCTCAAGTGATCACGATGTGTTGAGTTGTCTCTCTGCCTTATAGTATCTGTTTCATTCAAAGAATAAAACATGTAAAAACACATTTTAAATATGAAACGAAAAAAGTTTCGTATAAACCGCACATTTAAACGCGTTATGAACGCATAGTACTATCTAACACTATAAAAACGTATCAATGTTTGTAAAATAAAATAACGTCGTGAAGTTAAAAAACTAGTTATTAAGCGTTTCAATTCTGAACGATGGAAAACGTTGTTCAACATAGCACAGCGTTACTAACGCGTTTAAATGTGCGATTTTAACGAATTGGAACGCGTTTGTTTTTGGGACGGCTTTTACGCGTTTTTTTACTAGTTTTGTCTGACTGGGTAGCCTTTCAGCAAGTAAAAATCTAAAGAAAACTTGATTTAATAAATATTATTCGATTCACCGATAATTGCTTTCCAAAATCTCATCTGTGATAATCTGATTTAAATTGGGATCACCGAATCCGGCATGATTCGTTCGTTACGTTAAGGAAAACGCTTCACTTCCTACCCATCGTGTACTAAAATTGAAGAATAACAACCAACAAAATACAGAAAATAATCGATACCATCGATGCTTCCGGTACACTTGAATTTCGATATTTGCTATTTAGATTTGAGTGACTTCACTCTTGTTCTACTCATATTTGATGGTATTTAATGTCGGGTGCAGAAAGAGATCTTAAAGCATCCCATCACATAAATGTATTCTGAGAAAGGCTCTATTCTGGAAGAAATCATTGTTAATGTCGTACTCGCCCTTTAACATCTTTCTCAGTCCCGGCTTACTTTCTATTTTTCACTAATTGTAGAAAATGATATGAGTTCATATGAATCAACTACCACCACAGCAGAAGCATCTCAAATTGCAAGTGGTGATAATTATCATACCACTCACATGGGTACACACAGTGAATTGATGCACAACCCTAGGAATACAGATATTCACATTCTGATAAGAAACTGTCAAACGAGAAATTTGGCTAATAGTCGTGTCAAGTAAGTTTTGGCATGTAAAAGATTTGAACTGTTTTGCGGCTAATAGCTAAGTAGAATGTAATACTATTCAGAAAAAACTCTTCCTCAAGTGATGGAATATCTGATTAGAAACAGTGTAGTTGAGTCTCAGTTTGGACTTGAAACAATTTTGGTGCAACATTGTATTCAGAGAAAACAGCACTTGATGTTAAATTTACAAAAGCTTGAGAACCCGAGTTCCTTTCTTCAAAAGCCACACTATTCGACTGTCTATGATTGGAAGCATCTATTGTACAAACAGAGAGCCAATTTTGAGTAACCTCCAGTGTAGTGAGCTTCTTTTAGTAGTTCCATACTGATTAGTGATCTCTAAAAAATGTATTAGTAGAGTAGCAGACACAAAGTATTGTAAAACTCCATATAGAGAATATGAAGATATAGAAAGTGAGAGTTGGAGGTAATAATAATAACCCTGTTCCTGAAGAATTTATGTAAGATGCACCAAGGACAAAACGTAAGCAAAAAAATGGTTTTTTGTTTTTCACATCATTTGATAGAGCTCGTTGACTTGATTCCGAATATGTATATTTTATTGTGTTTTGATCAAGTTTTAGGTTTGAAACCTTGAAAATACTATAAAAAATTGGAAAGAGAAAAATATCACTGTTTTGGAAGAAACCGTGAAATGTTGCCCCTTTCCACTAAATATAGGCTTCCAAAACTGCTTTATTCGAATTCAGCATCTCAAACTGAGTATTAAAATGTTGTCTCAAACAAATTTCAACATAGCCAGAATTTTCCATGAGTTCAATTAGGATGAAAAAGTGACTCATAGACACTCATCTGTTGTAAACCTATCTAGTATTTTGTTTGAAAAATTTTCTAAATATTTATACATCAATCGAATCGTCATTCGATAAGGAAAAAAAAGTACATATGCGTTTTAAGAAATTTTGTTCTCCGGCTGAGACATGGAGCATTTACTAAATCATTAACCATCAGGCTAAATTTGACCCCTGAATTACCAGTTTTTGCACCAAAACCCAATTAGAATGCAAAATAAATATCATATTCGGAACCAGCATAAAAATTTGAGTCGAATATGATGGGTTTCGAATCATTCAGACGACTTTTGTTTTCTAATGAAAAACTTGAGTAGGCTGTTCGTGTCGAAGATGAAAAAAATAAAAGTGTTCCAAAATGATTATTTTCTGTCATATTCGACTCAGAGGGTGTGGGTGTGGGAGTGAGGGTGGGTGTGGGAGTAGGAGTGGGGATGGGGATGTGTGTAGAAGTGGGAGTGGGAGTGGGTGTAGGGATGTGGGTGAAAAGAAGAACAACACCCACACCCACACTCACACCCACACCCACACCCACACCCACACCCACACCCACACCCACACCCATACTCACACCCACACGCACACCGACACCCATACTCACACCCGCAGCTACACCGACACAGACATCGACACCGACATCGACACCGACATCGACACCCACACCCACACTCATACCCACACCCGCACTCACACCCTTGGTGCACCTTAGCTGTCTTTTCTTCTTTGTATACTGAGCAATAAAATCGTTTACGCTATTGTTCTTGAGGCCCTTATATACAAAGGTAAAATATATTCCGTCACTTGTTTGTGTGACAAAGCTTTGCTATTCGCTCCTGAAACTTCACATTTGGTTCTTGATTTCGTGGTCATTTTTATTTATGTATAGTTGTGTTTTGGTTACGACCGGCTCTTTCAATCCCGTCCATCCGTTACATTTTCAAAATCTTCTGCGTGTCAGAGATTTCCTAGAACGTGAACACCAGCCTCCATGGAATGTCCTAGCCGGATATCTCTCACCGACACAGTATGTTTTTTACAATCTGTTTTATTTCAACAGACATGTGTAAGTTCCTGTTATAGCGATTCATATGTGCGTTCCAAATTAGGTAATCCTGCATGGATTCCAGCTGAAGATAGATGTCGACTTTGCGAAGGAGCCATCAAATATGAAGGTCTTGGATTATCATCGTGGATTGGTGTTTCTCGAGGTGAAAGTCAATGGAAGGATGGATTTGTAGATTTTATTCCTGTTAGTGAAAATCTGCGAGATTTTCTTAATAGCACACTAGTTGGTCAAGGAAATATCCTCAAATATCCATTGAGAGTGGTATATGTCTGTGGACTAGATCATTTTAACAAATGTTCTTATGTTGAAAGTATGGCCAAACAAAATAACATGACGTGTGCTGTTATTTACCGTGTGGGGTACGACGAAAAGCAGATTAGTCGCTCCGCTGTAACTTCAGATGTCACCTACATTCCGTTGACAATGGAACGCAACAAACTCGTGGATGTAAGTTCCACAGAGATTCGTCAATATTTTAAAAATCCAACTACCAA